ACAGAATTACACGACTTTCCAGAGAAGAAAATCTAATTAACGACACTGTCTCCTTGCTCTTGCTTAGGTGTTCAGTATGTTTTAATGCCACCAAGAATCTTACAAACCCTATCTATCCCCACGTACTGCCTGATCCATATATTCACTATATTTTAAAGCTATTTTGAATCTTACAACCCCTACCTCCATGTACTGGCTGATCCATAAATTAATATCTAAGCAAAAACGTTACTGTATATGATGATGGAAATATGTTTTTTGTAGCTATGGAACAGTTGCTGCTTCTGCTCTCTCATGATAAAGATTTGCTGAAGGTTTGGTTTGGTTTAGACAATGCTATTTTCCTATTACAGGGGGCAAATGCCTGTATGACTGTCACTGAAACAGATTCAGCTGCACTGCTTTTTCTTTTTTTTTGGTACAGAGTATGATTTTTGTTAAGTCTTGCAACTTCAATATGACTAAGGCACTTGAAAAAGAACACCCTTCCTCCACCTTGTCCCAGTCTCCACCGAGTTAGCAGTGTGTTCACAAACAGGGCTGGATGTTGGAGCCCTGCTGAGTGCCTCAGTGACGGAATAGTCGGCACTTTACTTTTCCTGCACCCAAACAAACGGTAATCTTGAAAGAAATTGAAAACAATTCCTTAGGCAATGATTTAATATTTTTCCCCACACTCACACAATTTGTTGAACTATCACATACCTCAGACTTGTTCAAAACTTCCAATTGACTTATCTTGGCAATAATTAGCTGTCTCAGGGTCTCTGGGCTCTTCTCTGTGTCCATGAAAGGGTTATTGTGACACTGCAGTGACCGCAAACTTGGCAGTTTATCAAGCTCATTGACAGATGACCACTGAAATGGAAGGGAATAGTCTTTTGCAGAAACATAAAATGTACTTCATTTCAGAACAATACACAGTAACGTTGACTTTTCCTGTACAATGGCCATGACTGAAACTATTCTTTTGGTTAGCAGAACCAAGTACTTTCATCCTGTTCATTTAGCTAAGGAAAAAACTGCATTACATTTAATTAAGTTAAAAAAAATAATAAACAAATGAGGACGTACTCAGCATTTTAGATCATTAGAATCCTGCGAGAGGAATTATGAGGTAGCAGAGGATATGACTAGTCACCATTAACATGCTTGACTGAGACATTAAGAAATGTTTTTAAATTTTTAAATTATGCCTCTGTCTTGATCAAAGTATTCAATAGTTGCCTACATACGATCAATTTTAAAATTTTAAAAAAGCAAATTGCAAGTTACTCTTCAACAAAGATACAGATTTACAACATGCGAAACTCACAATCCAACCTACCTGTGATATTTTATTGTCATTTATTGCAAGGCGTTTTAATGAAGGAAACATTTTAGTCTTGCATCCTAGGAAAAAGAGGAAATTTACAAGACAATAGTAAAAACTTTAAACAAACAATTATAAAGCTATAAAAAAAAATATAGAAAATATTTCTTTAACGTACCAAATCCAGCATCAGGGAAGTGTATAGAAGTTATTCCAGTGTTTCTAAGTATTAGCTGCTCTAATCTGAAATTTAGTAGATAAAATAATTACTGTACACAGCACCGCAAGTTTTTTGTAAAAAAATACTACCTCTTTTTTTTTTAAACAAAAATCTAAAACTTTTGACATGATGCATAATCACTGACAAACAAACAGCAGCTTCACAGACAGTACCCGGGCTTCAGCAGAGTGTTAGGGAATAATTTTTGTAGACAAGTGCAATAATTTCAAGCTTTACAAAATGGCTCTTGGATTTAAATGATGTGATTTTGCAAATGATTTTTTGGAAATAGCTTATGCCTGTTTAAAATCATGGCTGCTATTCTGGTGTACAGCGCAAGATAATAATTCTTCAAATTAGGAAAACTATTGTATTAGTCCCACAATTTTCCAGTGACTGTAATTGAACTTAAGGAGCACACACCTGCTTTCCCCGGATGGTAACCCCAAAGCAAGGATTCGTAGTTCAAGCCTGTAACTACCATAAAGACGCTGCTATTGAGAGTACAGTAAACCAGAAGAATCTGCGTAAAGGGTGTTACCACAGACATTCTTTTGAGAAAGTGGAAATACATTTACCCAATGTAGTATGAGAATTACAGTGTTTGGGGTTTTTTTTGGTGGTTCTTTTTTAAAATTTTGAAGCATGTCTCTTTCAAAGTCTGTAAGCTACCCCAAAATAGCACTGAAACGTCCAAAAGAGAGTGTAGAGGACATGCCACACGCTTCTACCAGCGGACTAACAATAACCTTCCCCATAGTTAATAACCAAGAGCAGATAACAGAGACAGGAAAGAATTATCACCACTCTTTTTTAGCTCCCGTAACCCCTCTTTGTTTTGCTCGCTTTACAAAGGACAAATAAGTAGGCACCACGGGTGTAAGGTGAAAACGGCAAGTGTCCATCACCAACGATCTTTAGTGTGTCAGCCTCAGGAGTGACACCTTCCAACAAACAGCCCAACAGCTTTCTGCAGGCTCAAACGTCCCCAAGATGGCTGTGCAGCTACTGATGAACCTGCGTTACACTGTCACGGTCAGAAAACTGTTCCTAAGAAGCCACTTCCATAGCTCCTTTGCTTTGCCACTCCACTCAAACTCTACAGTCCTGTCATCTTGGATAAAACCCTGTGCATACTAATACATAAAGAACTTAGTAACGTGATAAATCACTTTTGTTTCATAAGTATATAATGAAAACCTAGTAACACACAGCTTAAGATCGTGTTACTCTACAACAAAAGTAAGATTATATTAGAATAGCTCTATTAAATAATTCAGTTACTCTCCTCAAGAGGGCAAAATGCCTCTATTTCAAGATTCCACAAATCTTCCATGCAACATCAATACTATCAATACTATCATATTTCAGTCAACAAAGAATATGGTGACGAACACTCAGACAAAAAATTTCCTGCAAATTTGATTAACAGCTACCTGGGGAGATGTGCTATTAGATGCAGCTGATTTCCATCCAATAACTGGTTGTCTGAAAGGTCTAACAACTTCAAAGTCTGCAGGACATTCTCAGGCCTGCCACATTGGAAAAACACAAACACAGAACATTTGAAGTTATTTGTTAACGAAAACACTAGTTTTCTAATTCTATAACTGCATGCAGATAATTGTGTGCATTTATAAACGTTTTGAAGTACATCACGTGAAGTTTGCATCATTTATTTTATAATTATGTCACGGTGATGTAAACATTACAGGAATGTAACTTTATCTGCTATACAACTTTGCAGTACAGCAGTCAGAAACGACTGACTTCGGTTACTCCTCTTACCTTTCCAAAACTGTAATATTATTAGAAGTAAGGTACAATTCTTCAAGTGCTGGCCATCCTGGAGCACAAAGAAGAACCTAAGAGCAAAACTTCATTTAATATAACAAAAGTTGGGAAAAATTATTTCAGAAATTATACTTTATGCAGATTTGTTCAGAACATGTTCAGAACAAGCCACAGCTCCCAAAACTAGAGAAACAAGTATAATGGATTGCCTAGCCGTCCTTTGCTTCCAGCTGACTCTTTCCTGTGTCTGGATCTACCAGTACAGATGACAGCAAAGGGGTTCTGCACAGTCACGGGCTTGAGGCTGGTAGCTGCCCTACCTCAGACTGTGGGACCTGGAAACTGATGTTATTTTATTCAATAGGGTTGGAGTGATCCGATTTTCCCTATGATGAGGTGAGGAAATGGCAGCATATACTCGACTGCTAATGGTTCTGTAACTTCTGCACATCTCATCAGGTCTGTCAGACTTTTAAAATGTCTTAATTTATCAGAGCTTGAAGGCTTCTCTACCATGGGACTGTGCCAGCACACGAAAGTACTAAAAACCAAGAATTGCATTAAGTCAGCACATATCCTGAAGTTTTCAAGTACTCTAGAGAAAACAAATTAGTTCAAAAAGGCTACAAATTGAACAAAGATGAATTTGTTTACATTTTATGCCCTGAAATTGCATAAAAAATATTTTACTTTGTATTTTTGCAAACATCTACAACAGATAATACAATTTTTTAAAAATAAACACTTATTACAAAGCAATAGAAATTGCTGGCATAAACACCGGTTTTGTATGCAACTATGACAGTGTCAAAAATTTTGCAGCTTTAGCAAAAGCAAATGGAGTTCCACAAGCACTTGAACCTGACTGGTTTTCTACAGACTTGTGCCTGTGAGTTGCAAATTATTTTCTTCACTGAGGTTTTTCTTGTGTGTATTCTCCAGAGTCAAATTAAGTGTGAGCTCATCCTGCTACTCCTTCCTTGACTAGGAAACTTAGAGGGGCTCCTTCCTTCCACCTACATTCCTATTTTCCTGGAACTTGCAGGTAATAAATTATTTTTAAGCCCCCACCTCTCTTCAAAATGTGTTTGAAATTGCTAGCAGATTCTGTTTTCGAGATGCAAAACCACAGACATACAAATGCACAGCATAATCACCTAAAGCTTCTTTTTACAGGAGGCTGCAAATGTTACAAAGCAGTGAAGCTCAGTGAGCTGGACAATCAAATTCAATTGGTTATGTATCTAGCTAACCCATTCTCCTATAAACGTCCACTATCCTAGACACCAAAAAGCCTCCTTTCATCAACTATTCTTCATTCTCTCTGTTACAGCTGTATGAAGTTATACAGCTGGATGCATATGTAACTGTCTCATTACGTACACAATACGAAATACTGAGCTCTCTTCAAGTGGTGGCATATGATTTGGGGCTCCACTGCTTCACACCCAAAAACACGTAATGCCATCCCGCTGCCATGTCTGCAAGACATGTAAACTTACAAACTCAGATATAACAACTTTTCTTGCTCCAGAGCAATATCAGGCAACACCAATATTTTATCTCTTTAATTTGGATAGCGTTTCCCTATGTCAACAAGACAGATCAAAACAGTTTATCTATTAGTGACAAGGAAGCACAAAAAGAAACCTGTAGAGCCAAGAAAAATTAGGTGTATGTTCACTACAGAGAATCTTGGGGGATTCCCCCACAAAAGCCCTGCATTGTGATGGATGGCACAGAAAAACTGTACAAAACTGAAATATCAGAAGACTTTCAACAGACTGACCAAATGACTCGAAAATTGCCAAAACCAAATGACAGACACATCACAATTCTAAGAAACTCAAATTACCGATTTTTCAACTATTGCTTAAACCAGCTTCCATAAAGAAACAAAAGTTCACAGATCTGACACTGAATTAACACTCAGGGAAAGGCTTGTTGTGGATAGCTGGTGGGGAGGCTGAGACAAATAGCCAGTGGAATAGCCACTGCTGACAAAAAAACGAAAAATGGAAATCCAAGACCTACTGCAAAAGAAACAAGGAACAATTGTCACCATGTAAGTCGATGATGTTCCTGTATTTTCAGTCTCTTTATCCCAGGAAGCAAATGATACAAATGGGAAGGGCATAAAGAAGCTTAACAAGAATCATCAAAGCCATGATACAGAGAACAGCTGTTCTCAGTTACTTGCATATAAAACATTGGGTATTATTAAACTAAATTATCAGGCAGCAAGATCAAAAACCAAAAAGGGTATTTTTTCACACAGCACATAATTAAACTGATTTTAAAAGATGTGGATATCAAAATTTTCAAATGGGTTCTTAACACAGTTAGATAAATCATGAAACAAAAAAATCGACAAAGATTAATTAAATACACACATAGAGTCTCTAGCTCAGGAAGCCCCAGAATTCCAGATTACTTTATAAGAAGCTCTTACCATATGCTTGCTCTTTGTCTAGAATTTTTCCCAACTACCTGCGACTCGCCAGTGTCAAAAACATGATCCTGTATCTCTGCTCTAACATAGATTTTTCTTTTACCCTGTATAATAGTAGTTTATTTTAAAAATGTAAGATCTTAGTCTGAAAATAGAATGACAAATATAACGTTAGGATTTAAATGCTGAATAAGAAAATATGTTTTTGGAGCCATGAATATGAATTTATTATTCTCAAATGTATTAATTCAATTTCTAAGTCAATAGTTTCTAACTGTAAGATGTTTTACAAGATATCTTTCCACCTTGAAGGTTATATGTTATGTTTTGAACAATCAATCAACAATTATACAGTAACAAGCTCTTTTATTGGTATACTAATGGAAATCTCAGATGTATTTATACACATGCATATAATATATCAATGAAAGAAGTTTTTGGAGAACTGATGCTCAAGGCATGTAAATGTGGAGTTATGCATAATTGCGTAATAGTTAAGCAAGTGAAAAATATCTCAAAGCAGAGAAACAAATGAAAAAACCACAAGCCTTCTCTTCTTTTTTAAAACTATACCCATGCCATATATTTTTATATATGGCAATAAGTTATTCTGAAATGCTGTTCACCATTAAATTGTTTTAATTTTAATTAAAACATTTCTAGGCTTTTCAGACTTTGCTTATATTCCAATTAAAAAATCACTATATGTCTGTCTTGCCTAGATCATATTCATTACTATTTTCTATTAAAAAGTTGACTTTTCAAAGTAACTCCCCATTTAGCTTCAGCAGTAACATTTTCAAGTGGTTTGTTCACAGAGTATTAATGTCAGGTAAGTCTCTTTATTTTTTCCCTTTTGTTTGGCTGCCCTGGAACACCACTTTTAAGCACAGGCTTATGTCTCCCCACTTATAACAGAATGAATCAAACAAATTTCAAATTTTGTAAAAAAGATTTCTGAACAAAAAATGTCTTTATGGCCTATGATGAATTGTCAGCTAGAGCAGAGTTTCAAAAACAAATGCAAAACCTACGTAATTTTAAACTGCTCTGACTAACCTGGCGCTTCTCTCTGAATCTTAGTTACCCCTAGGGAACTCTAATCTGCCTGAAGCAATGGTTCTGACCAGCCTTTCGGCCTCCCTGGTATGAAGGAGAGCTTATGGCAGCTGCCAACGTTTTAAACACCACAATGCACAGATTTACTCTGATCAGAACTCTAGATGACACTTAAAATGTTTGTAGCCACTCAATTCTTCCATTCACACTGCTGCTGTTATGGAAGGATTATCAACTGTCCTAGCATAAACCCCACTGATGGTCTAAGAGCACTGAGAATGGACACTAAAGAAAAATATAGCTATGACCTAGCCCTGCTGTAAGAGAAGAGAATGAAGTTTCTTTCTATTAAACTCCAGTTTTGCTAAGTGCTTCATTACTGAATAGTGGCTGGCAGCAAAAGTCTGGAAACTCGGGTAATTTCACAGTGCAGTACATACAAAATCTGCCCGAGAAATCCAAATAACGGGCTGGAGTTCACAAGCTATTACAAGTAACGTGGCACTACTGAGATGTGCTTCGAAAGACCCATTTCTGACAAAAGGCCCACTGCTAACATATTTGACAACAGCACTTCGGTCTTGGGGAGACATTATATTACAGGAGAGTCATTTAAAGGTCTGCGTGTTTCAGCCTCTAAAACAAGTCAGAGCTTTGTTTCTTCTGTGCTATTTCTGTGTCGCATCTAACCAGGCATCATGTATTTCAAGGACTGTCAGTATGTGCAAGGATGCTAAGCCAATCTTCTGCTGATGCGAAGTGATGCCAAAATAAGTACTTGGTGTCATAATGACACATGTTCTTTCCATTTGCATTTGGTTTATTACATCATAAAAATACAGATCAACTATGAGGAAACAAAAAGTTTTTATTCACACAAACCTTTGGGACCCGACGTTGTATTATACTCCAACTGCTTTATCTAGACTTGGTAATTTACAAATGTAGATGAAATTAAATGTTTTTTATTAGACTCCTGTGCCAGTATAACTTCTTACTTTATGTAGGAACTATTAGCTACTACATATCTAACACAGTTATGCCATAGCATTTTTGCTAAGGATGATTACATTTCAGTAGAATAATATAAAACACAAATGTTTATTGTGCTTTCCTTGCCTCAAAAACCTAACAATATAAATAAAAACAAAATCAAGAAAGATTATTACCTCTGTCCATGTTATGTTCGTTTGATTAAGTGCCAGAATCCTCAATTTTGAAAATACACTGGATACAGAAGTTGATGTAGATGGAAATTGCATTTTGTTTTCACTGTGTAAAGAGAGTAATTATTAGCATAATGAATAAATGTGTTTAAGTCACTAATTTAGAATTACATATTAAAGACAAAAACAATTTACACAAAAAAATATAAAAAGTCACTGCCAAGGTGTCACACATTTAAGAATATTATAGAATATCCTTCTCGTTATATTCAAAGGTACTCTTTCCTAATTTACTTTCCTACTTCGTGAACACATATTTATTAATCTGGGGCCTCCTTCCTCCATTTTCCGCCCCTAAGTTTTGAATATGAAAAGAACACATTTCATAAATATTAAATAAACAAAGTCAGATTTTGGGCTTAAACTCCTAGCATTGATTAAAAATAAAGAGCCTACAATGACTATCCAGCCCCCAGTAAAACAAAAGAATGTAAAATCCACTCTCAATAGCAAAATATCACTGTAAAATAGTTAAAAGATTCTCAAATCTGCAGTCTTCAAATTAGTTTTCATCACTCACTCCCAAACAAAAGTTTTTCTTTCTTTCCTAAGGTCTGATCTACCTGCATATTATGACAAAAATCTCTCAGTGTAGTAATACTTACATACTTATGGGCTAAATTTCCCCACTTAAACAAGCTCTTAGAGACCTTGGTGGATGGCTACTCACTTTTATTCTTCTTCCAACATTCCTTGCACAAAAAATTCAGTAACAGACTTACCTGTTAGCGTCTTTGTTTTTAAAGTAAATAGAAGGTCAAAACAATGAAAAACAAATTCAGACTATTTCAGTTTGTAATTGTAAGCGTGAGATTCCAGCATCAATCCCATTTTGCTTTCCAATGTTAGCACAAATAACTTCTGAAAACCCTTCAGTCTAGACTACACTTCTCAACAATGAAAAACTGAAAAAACTATTCTAGACAAATTAAAATAAATTATCTGTATTCTCATGTATACTGATAATAATAAATCATGACAACATATGCTCTAGGCAAAGTTAGATTTACAAATAGCATCCAGGTTGCAAACAGCTGTTCAGTGCTAAATACTGAAGAAAATGGAACACCTACAAATATTTAAAAAATAAATTTTTGTTACATCAACTATAAGAACAAATACAAAACCCCGAGTAATATTTTTACTAAAATAACTTAGTATTTATTTCAATTTAGCTTACATCACTTTCAATTGTTTGAGCTGCATTGTGTGTACTCTACAATGAAGGCTTTGGAAGCTGCTAATCTCAACACAGATCTCCAAGACTCTAAAAAAAAAGTCGTATTTTGGGTTTCTGCCTTCAGTCCTATTGCCCTGCTGCTGTCTTCAATGACTAGTATGACCTCCAAAACAGCTGAACAACTCTGCTTAAAAAGTCAGCAGACTTACTGCTAACTAACTTAGTTAACAAACTTCCAAAAGTTGCAGCTATATCATTAACTTTTCAAAATTACTGGTTTAGGTTACTACCTATTTACAAACTGTGTTTGTTCCACTGTGTTAGTTCACACCAGAAAATTATTCTGGCACATGTCAGCTACAGGTGTGTACTAGAAATGTTGTTTGTTTTGAAATTATTTGTGAATTCTTTCTTGTTTCAGTGGAATTGCAGCTTTATTTAACAACATCCTCCCTCCTTTTCCAATGTCATCACGGTACAAGAGATTGTCCTCTAGGTCTGTCACCACGATCCATAGTTCTTATCAGCATCATTTCAGGACAGAAATAGACTGGGTCTTGGGATACTTAAGGTCTGGTTAAAGCACTATGGGTATTTTAGTTTGGTGTCAAGACACTGTTGGTAAAGCATCATTCTTAAACAAAAGTGGGCTCCTAAATAAAGACTTGCCTGGGCAGTCAGAATATATCAACAATAATAAAAACCGGTGGCAAAATCTTAAAGACACTTGTAATGCCTTTAAAAGAAAATTAAAGTGTATGTACTTCACAGTTTTTCTATGTAGAAAAAAATTTCTAAGCTCATGAAAAAAAAACAAACAGGTTTGCAAACCCAGAAGGCAAACAGATAGCTACTGCTAAACTTAACTAAAAAATGCCAAATGAGATTTTCAAGTGATAAGGATGTGGTAGGCTGCAAACTCCTGCAGCAGTGCCACCTCAAGCTCTTGGCTTCTTCTGAGGGGCCCATCTGCCTGCAGAGTCCCCACACCCTGCCAGGGCCATGCAGACCCTACGCACAAGTATCCGTGTGCCCAGCACATTTGGCTATGTCCATCACGAAGCTGGTCTCCTCGTTGCAGACCACTCACTGCACACAGGCAACGTGGATGCACACAGTTAAGTCAGTTCTGCCTTGGGGCAAACTAAGCTTTAAAATCAAGAGAATTAATTGTCTTAGATGTCACAGAAGTGTGTAAGGGCAACTTATTACAATGTAAACCTCATTTTTTATACTCCTTGTTTCCTCATTTCTATAAATGTACTCTGAGTAATTTTTTTTTACCTTCAGTCTAACTGCTTAAAAGTCTACAGTACTCTGTAAAAATCTATAATGCATTTTAATTGAATCTCCCTATCCAACAAGCCAATTTGCATAAAAATGATGAAATCTGTTATGTAGAACACATTGACAAATGCCTAAATTCCTGCAAATGTTTAATGGTTGAAATCTGTATTCTATTTTTCAGACAACTCTGATTTTTCTAATTTTACAAAACTCTAGTCAACATCTATCCGTCCAGCACTTCTCCAGAATTTAGTTTTACATAGATGCTGAACTCCTAGGGTTCTAGTCTTTCCTTGAAAAGGACATCTGAAAAATACAGCACACACAAGAGTTGTTTAAGGACAAGATTTTTCAAAAAAGTATTTAAAAACTTAGCTCCCATTAAAATGAATATTGAGGTATCCAGAAGGTACCTTTAGAAAGCTGACCTCGTATCTAAGAGAGCCACTTCTTTTTTGTCCCTACTCCAAAGGAACGGAAATTCAAACAAGAATATTTATACCTGATATTAAGTGTTTCCAGATTTTGAACTTCAGAAGCAATAGCTGTTACTGTCTCCCAAGATGATATCAGATTCTTTGATAGATTTATATGCCTGATATCTGAAATTTTACATTAAGAAAAAGAAACTTATCTCAAATCTGAACTTCCTTTTTCAGAAATTAGAATTCGGGTTTGGTTTTGAATCGATTAAACAGAAATACATTACACTTGTTTGGGCTAAGAGATACTACTGCTCAGTTACAGCAAATTTTATTTTGATTTGTGGTATGGAAATGACTTATAGTTTTATAAAAGAGCTTAACTTTTGCTCTTAACCAGTCCTCATAAATGAACAAGTAATACCTTTGTATTTCTGTTACATCGCTACAACACACCCATTACTGGAGCCTTCTGAAATTGCTGTCACAGTAGCAATCTATGACAATATTTCTGTTTTTATCCAAAATTTGCATTCTCTCTCAAAAATGGTAGGCATCTACTTGTTAACTCTGTAAACATTGCATTAAGCTTCTAAATATAAACTGCAGTTTTAAAGGGTTTTTTTTTTTGTTTATTTGTGTGTGTGTGTCTGTGGCTTTTTTTTTAATAAAAGGATACAAATATAATTCATTGAAGTGAACACTTGGAATGCTAAAATATGTACTTTATTTGTGGTATCATTCAATACAGCAAAAAAGGATACTAGCACATGTTCTGCTGATTTCCTCTTTCTGACCAGCATGGCTCACTGCACACTCACGCACTGAGATATCTACCAGTTGGTTCAGTCGGCTAAATGAGAAAGAACATTCTGTTAAGTAATCTTGAAACGGAAATAGGTACGTTATATAAATACCTGCTTGTTGCAACTAAATAATATCCTTTTCATACTTATCATCTCCTTTAGAACTAGCAATGTGCAGATTGCTACATTAGTGTCTCTTGTTCAAAACCAGACATATCTCTTTCTATTTTTTACCTTTATATTGCTACTACAAAATAGGTCTGGTTGAACCTCCAAAAAACCCCAACCAACCCTCGTTCAACTGAAAAAAGGATGTTAAACCAGACAAAATACAGCTATGCAAATTGGAATTTAATTCAAGGTTCCAAGTTAAACAGGTTTCTTGTAATACTTTTTTTGCAAGAAGTTCCAAGTTATTTGGGCATTCTTTGTATCACTTACCAAAAAAGACAAAAAAAAAAAAAAGAGTATTTTTGACTGCTTAGTATGTTCTGAGAGACAAAGGAAGAATAGTTGTGGAGTATCAGATCAGAGGGAGACTGCCATCTACTGAACTGATACCTCTCTACTGCTGGAGGTCATTAAAACTGCAATCTGTTACATATCATGAAGTTACTTCCTTTCTTAACCTTCCAGATAAATGAACCTGACGTGAACTGACTGACAGGACTCTTCACTAGCAGTACTGTGACTTTCTGCCTTCCCTCTCTTAGTTACAAAGTCATTACTGATATGAGTAAACAAAAGTGAAATAATACTGTACAATATTGAGAAACTATTGAAATACATCTATTTGGAAAGGATCACGCATGTGTATAATGATTGCCAATATCATGATAATTGATCTCACTCATTCCTCCCCAAATATCATCACCTCCTGCTTTGTGAAATCAAAATGAGGATTGTGAGCACTCAAACATGACATAATCCCATTCCCTATCTGTAAAAAGGTAAATTATGAAGCCACGATAGAAAGATCTCTTGTCTCTTCCACCACAGTGCAGCCTGACTTACTTTTAGAGATATGGCAACATTATATGCAAGGCAGCCAGCTTCCTTTCCTTACACCTGAATTGCTACTTAACTAATCGATCACTAAGAGTGTATCTTAGATTTTCCTATATAATACTTGCCTTTGTTGTTCTACAATAGAATCCATGCCAACAAATTCCACAGTCTTCTTTCCAAATACTAGTGTATTCTCTGTTGCATCTTGCTCATCATTCAATCCGTACCGGTCCTTTACTGCAGTAAGAAAATCTACTCCAAAATTTGCCTTGTTTGGCCGGATAAATGATCCTCCTCTAGGATGCCTGGAACGGAGTATCCAGGAAAAGGTGAAATATGAAAAGTTACATAAGAATAACTAGTCTCAAAAGCACTAATTATTACTTTTTTAAAATACTGGGAACCAAAGCAGTCAAAAGGCAATTCTACGGGCTAATTTTAGACACCACTGCTCCCACTCAATGACATCAGGTAAGACTTGCAAAGTATCTTTGACAGTATTTGACCCAACAAGTTCACATTGTGAGATACCATGGGAACTGAAGCACCAGATCTCCAAATGTATTTACATGTCAAAATTACAATGTCAGTGCCACTATCGGAAATAGCTGCTCTGTTGTTTGCAAACTCATTATGAACTCAATTTTTCCAGAAAATTAAGTTTCTACCTATGGACAGACACACAGTTACCTAAATCATACAACGAATGTGTCTGGAGTCTCACCATAGCCTAAGGCCCATAAGGATACTCAGAATAGTCACTGCCTCGTTATGTTTGACTTGAATAATTCACTTGTAACTCTAAGAGAACGCAGCCTTGTCCGTCCATCCACACAAATGACACAAGATGAAAATTTTACCACTTGGAACTCGTATACTAAACCAAACATTAAAAAAAGAATTCTAATACTAACTCAGTAACAATTTTGAAACTGAATATTCAACAGAATTATCCAGCTAATAGATGTTCAACATAGTCCTATGAAGTTTCTTGGGTTTTCTTAAGCACTGAAAAAACTTTATTGTACGACAATTTCTAGCCATGCAATTGCTTTGATGACTTCTATCAAAGTTCGGAAGGAAACACAGTATTTAGGAAGAACTGGCAGGGACAAGTTGTGGGAATAGTATCACACAGCAGATGGAGGATCTGATAGGAGGATGAGTCAGAAAACAGCGAGAAGAAAATAGGTAGTTATGATTACCTGTCTGCCTTCCAGCTGAGAAGAGTATAGAGTTCAGTTGGAACGTACTCAGGAAGAAGAAATCACTTATGTAAATAAAACTCCTTTTTTGAAAACAGCGGGTAAACATCAAGTGGCTAATTAGCAAACTGCAACAGAAAGCACCAACTCTACAGACTTCAAATTTCTCTCAGACAAACAGTAAGTAGAGACTCTGAATCCTATGGACCTATGACAAGTAGTTGGAATAGCTTGAACACTGAGTATTCACATTTTTATTAAAAAATTAGCACTGGAAATTGCCTGTCCCAGTTTTATTCATTAGCATTTCTCATACTTCTTTAAGTACTCTCATATCCTAACGAAAAATCTGGATAAAACCAAGATATTATTTACTTTAAAACTATTTTCCTTCTAGTTTTCTAGTGACTAAGTTTAGAGTGCAATGACTACAAAACAAGCAGGAAGGCACACTCTTAAGAGAATGTAAATCCAGTATGTACCTCATGTATAGCAAGTATTTTCAGTTATCTACATTTTAAAACCAGTAACCTTTTTCTAAGTCTTTCCTTCCATTCCTTTGAAGTTCTTCGTAGCTTGCAAACATTTGGCTAGTTTATATCTTAAACTTCCTCAAATGTAAAAATGATGTGACTCTTTCTTGACACCACTTCTTAAAACAATAAACGACATTTTCACCATCTTAACTATAACATCTCTTATCTGCAAAGTATATCTCTCCTATTTTTGCATTTAATTAAGTCTAACAGGTTCATAGATGGCACAGTGCAAGATTCTGCCTGAGGCCCTGGAAAAAAGCTTCTTGTACTCTCATCTATCTGTAATTCACTCTAGGTCCTGCTGTATGTTTATTCTGACATCTCCTGTCCTTTTTCCTATCACCTTGATTCTCCCCGTTTTGTCATTGCCATCCTTCTGCACTCAACAGTTCCGCTGCTTTTCTTCCTCTGCTCCCTTCTACCCTCTCACCAGAGCTAATCTGGACCCCACAGCTGGATTCCTTCTGTCATGCCATTTATCCCTGGCATAGCCAAGTCCTTTTGGTCTTTCCATCACCATACCCAATCCTAAAACCATTTCTGTCCTCTGAGGTCACCATTTCCATTGACATTTCCTTCCTCATTGTCTTTGTAGGAGCCAGTTCTATCCCTAGGAAAAAATTCAAAGGAAACTAGTCACCTTGGCCCTTGTCATTTGAAGCTACAAGAAAAGTATGGTGCATTTCTCTCTCAAGACCCTCCTATTTTTTGTTTTGATCACAGCTAGATCGTAGGGCTTCTCTCTCCTGTTTCTATCACTTCCAAGCGCTATGCATGCTATCTTATTTAATGTATACTCAAATCCATTCCACAGCCTAAGTTTCTTTTTCAGTTCCATTCTATTGATTTGATCTACTTTTCAAGAACTGTCACAAAGAAGGACAGAAAAGGAGACTTTGCAATAGGAACCTATTTTCAGGCAAAATGATTATGTGTTCAAGGAGAGCATTCACTTACCTGTAACTCACTTTCCTTAAAATACAGTGCCTGTATTAACTTTCACACTAAGGAAAGTAACTTGTGCAAGCCGTACATACAAAGCAAACAAATAATGTACAGCACCTGGACTCAGGAAAAGCACACCTATTAGCAATCGGTCTCCATAACTGGGAACCAAACAGGTAATCCTAATCCAAGGAGTCATCCAGCATGCATATCATGAGACGGAAGAACCTGCGGACTACTGATCAACCTGACTTAAGCTAAACATTCGGAAGTCGTGGCAGAAGATACGCCCCAATTTCCATAAGCAGAAAATCTGGAATATGTCCAAGCGGGGCCTTGACAACCAGCTGGCTCTGGTTAATAGTGACGCTTCTTACTGACTTTTAAAACGGAGAGGTTGACCCCAATCTCAGAAGTCAGCTTGTAGGACACTTTCTATTCATGATTCAACGGCCTGAAGCAATACAGCCCATCTGCTAGCATGCCCAGGGCACTTGAAAGATACTCATTAAAATTTAGATTAGCTATCAAGTCCCACTGGTTAACCATTTCACTGAATAAAGAGGAAATTTGTCATCATTCTTCTTAGCTAATGTAAAACAAAGTGGTGGAGCTGCTCATGATTGCAGGTATATGATGGCTCTTCATGCACTAGAATAATGTCACTCATACACATAATGCTTCTCAGTATCCAAGGTATAGCGCAGTAACACATAAACTGTGTTCTGTCAGCAGTGACACACTTGAGCTGTCTGACTGCAGAAGCAAGCTTCCGAGTGAAGGAGATATCTCACCTTTATCAGCCTAGATAGTAAAGATAGATGGAAGGGCTTCTTTGCCCAGTTCTGGCTGTTTGCACCAATTACCTCGTGGCAATTATCATCACGACTGGGGCATACACACTACAAAGTTCATAAGGTGTCATACATTATAGCCAGTTGAACCCATGCAGCATGGCTTTCCTAGACAGGGTCTGAACAGATCTCTTCCTTTAAGGGGAAGGTGCTCAACAGATCAGACTTCTTTTAGAAGAACCTACACACTGTGGTAAAGAAAACCCTTTAAGTTTTAGAACAGGCTGTGGCAGCTGTGGCATCAAACAAGGCTTTTAAGTGACACCTAACACTAATCTGCTCTGGTGTATCAAATTCCTGACTGCACAGCAGAAGCTTTGCAAACATCAGCAAGTACTTGAAGTTCTTGCAAGTTTTCCTTAGTCACACAGACATGAAAGCTGAGTCTGAGCTTTCACAAAACAAGGAAAGACAGACAGACATCTGCAGTTCCAGATGCTATCTTAAGGTTCTGCTGGTGCAGAGGACATTTGAATAGCTGTTAGTGACAACAGTTTAGTTTCAACACTGTACTGTTGACAGCAGAGAGCAGAAGTCTCTGATAGCACAGTGACACAGTGAAACAATCAAAACTTCCTAATCGAGACCTTCTGAGGCTAAAAGGAATCTTGGGAATGCGTTCTCCCCTTACTAAATGGCAATCATGCTTTCTTCACAGACACTAAAATATTGACATCCTCCTCCTGTATTTGAAGAGTTTATTTGTGCTCTAAGTAGATGCTCCTGGAGGAGAATCTGTCATTCTTGAATGAGAGACAGTCTGATTTAATATAAATAGATCTTCTTTTGGGCAGGAACATAAATTCCACGCAAATAGTAACATTTGATTGGTCACAATACCCTGTCTGTCAATTTTATAAACATGTCTGTATGCAACTTATAAAATTCACTGAAGAAGGAAAAACTGAAAACATGTAACGCCTTTGCCAAGATAACTTGGCATTTCAGGACTACACAAACATACAAAAGTCAAAGTTCCCACCAAAAGAAAACTTAAAGGGAGAAAAAAGGTCACAAAGATCTGAGAAGCAGTTGCAATTCTGCCACGCTGAAAACATCACAGAAGCAAGCTTTACTCACTTCCCTCTGCTCCTCTGGCTTGCTGTGAAAGCCAAAGTTGAGGAAATGGATTACAGTTTAGATATGGCAAATACTTCTAGAAACATTATCTGCCGAAACATCAGGATTCCTCTGGAAAGTGATCTGGGAAGAACAAAACATTCTTCAGCAGGAGCGTTCCTTTCAATTATGACTCAATGTACTCTGAATGTGTGATACAGCAGAACGTTACTCCCATCTTGTAAGGTAAGCAGAGAAGTATGTCACCTACTGCTGAGGAATCCACACATCTTCCCCAGCAAAACAGCAAGGATAAAAACAGCTGCTAAAATAGCAATGCCTGTGTAAACACTACATGTGAATGGAGTATCCAAAACTGACTAAGGGGAGGGCTAAGGAGGAAGATGA